GCGCGGTAAACGCCATCTGTAGTACGATGCTACATTTTAGAATTACGTATGCTCCAACAAGGTCCATTTAAATATATGGATATCTACTTGCAGAAACGAATCCCGGCGTAGCTAACCTCAACGTGATAGGCACGTTACAATAATCGAATAAAATAATTCGAAGTGGTCTGTATTCTGTCGAAACTGCCAGACGCGCTGATGAGATCCAAAAAGATCGAAATCGCGATCCCTAAAACTACAACAACCCGCATCCTTAACTATTTGCGAACAGTAATCTAATCTAGGTCTACCACTATCCCTTCTAACTTCCGTTTTTGCCTCTCATATGTCTCTGACTAGACCTGAGAATGTGTCCTACCAACCTATCTCGCCTATTTCTTATTGACTTCATAAAGTCCTCTGTTCTCCTATTCTTTCTAAAACCTCTTCATTTCTAACCTTCTCTATCCACGATATCCTCATCATTCGCCGGTAACACCACATTTCGAACGCTTCTAACCTTTTCTTTTCCGCCACGCCCATTGTCTATGTTTCGCACCCGTACAGCGCCGTGCTCCAAACATACACCTTTTTCGAAGTTCTAAATTAACCGATATACAGATTAAAAAGTAACGGTGACAGTGTGACTCCCTTTTTCTTTTAACCGATAATTATTAAGAACTCCCTAATTTTTGGCCTTGATACCAAATTAGCCCCTAATTTTGGCAGTTTCGGAATTTATTTAGACTACGTTATTCTGACAATTTCAGAAAGCTCCCAATGGCGAACATAGAACTTGTAACAGCCTGTATACGTATACCTATTCGAAACTAAATTGATTTTTCCCTGGTTATTGTATTCTATTTTTCCTGAACAGTTATTTTGGTGACGCATTATTCGTTCTTCGTTCGAAAATGATTTCCAATGGAAGTCTTTCACACGAAAGCACTGTCGGAGACGTTAATAAATCTTTTCAAAAGCATCCAAGAAAAGCTGTAATTGCTGTCTCGAAGGAAACGGAAAGAGCTTCCGTATTCTAACCGACGTACCTATGCATACGTACATATATGTAACTTTTGTATTTGTTTTGCATTTCTGATGGTATATTTTCATCAACACGTTTTCCAATCATTCTTTTTACAACTAGAACCTCAATTCTCACAAAGTTTGCATTTTGTTATGTTTAATGATGATTAGAAACCTTTTTAAGCGTTGGTAATGCAATTTATTTAAAATAATTTAATTAATAACACTTTAAATTTTATTAAACATTTACCTTTTTCTGTGGCAATATCAACATTAATTCTTTACATTATTGTCGTCGGGCTATCTTAAGTGAGTAGATAATGTAAAATCTTTTACGAAGATGCTGCTTAATGGAAACTATTTAATCAAATTTTCGCATTAAATATTTAAACGACGGCACAAGGAAAATTTTACAATTCAGTTTATGGGAGAGCGGGAGGTAGCATCTGCGAAATTGATTTTACCACCCCACGTTTCTGAACCCTCGAAGGGATAATTTATCTGCTACATCTAGCGCTGTATAAACAAGTCGTGTAGAATTAATCATCCTAATTTGGGAACAAGCCGTCGCAGAGACGGTGAAAGGGCGTGACTCAAAATGTCGAAAACCATTTTCGGGTTGCGAATGACAGAGAGATCGCAAAAACTAGGACAACGCATTAAAATTTGTACCCCATCCTCTGTTCGAGTAAAATTACACAGCATTAGGATAAAACGCCCCTCTACCGCTTACTTTCATTAAAATAGATGCACACATGTGCCTACATGATTACTAATTGTAAGTGCAGAGGTAATATTTTTGATGAATATTAGCGAATGTACTTTTACACTGTGACCGACCCTCCGCTTTCAGTTCCACGTATTTATAAAGAACGAAAGGCCCAAGGCAAAAGTCAAAAGAAACATTCTTGAGACTTGTATATTTCATAAAACTTCACAAACACATAATTAGTTACTTCTTTAAAGGAAAGAGAAAATTTGGCACATTCCTTCTATTCTCCTTCAAATTGATCGATCTTCAAGGGAACTCAATTACTTGTATCTAAATTACCTCAAAATTTTTTCTTTTAACTTCATTAAATTTACATTAAATTTTCAATAAATACGGACCTGTTAAATGTTTAATAAGCTCTATTTTAAAACGAAACAGTCTCTTAAAAAAAATTAATCCATTGTTACCATTGTAGCAATTATTTACCTACTTATGTGCTAGTTATGCAACGGAAGTGTCATAACGGAAACAGAATTGAGTAGTAAATTTTTGCGGAAGCGGAAACGGATGCGGAAGCGGAAACGGAAACGGAAGCGGAAGCGGAAGCGGAAGTGGAAGCGGAAACGGAAGCGAAAGCGGAAGTGTAACAATTTTAGATGACTCTTTAATGCAGTAATGGAGCACTCTTTTCACGAATATTTTGTTACAAATTTTGAATTTAGCACTTACGTCGTTAATAGTAACAAAATAATACCAAATAGAGCTTCTTTTTGGCTTCAAAATTGCAATTTTAACTCAAAATATACACCACTAAGCAAACACTATAAAAAATAAATAAACGCTATAATTGTGTTAGTATTTTGGAAATAAAACTATTCAAAAGTTCAGCCAACAGATAAAAGTAATAAATTTTTACGAGTTGTTTTATTGTTCCGATATATTGGTTTTCAAAAAGATAGGAAATAAGATTTTGTTCCGATAAGCTTCCGTTATAAAAATGCGGAACCAGATGCAGAAGCGGACGTAAAAATGTATGCGGAACTTCCGTGATTACTGAAGCGAAAGCAGAAGTCTGTTGTAACCATATACCTAATACTCCTATTGGGATCCGTCAAATGGGAGGAGCCTTAAAACATGGCGCCGATTAGGGAAAATTTATCGTAGTTCCTATAGTGTACCGTGCAATTTCCAAGTTTTTAAATTACGATAAAATGATAAGTATTCACACAATATGTGATCGGGCTGACACAAAACCTCGGAAAGGAAATTTCGTTGAAGGTGAACGTGTTTTTAATGCCAATCACATTATAAAATTCGGAAATAACAAATCCGGAAGCTAGCCTTCAAATTCCGTCAAGTTTACTGCCTACTTTTTACAAATTTTGGATTTAAAAAGTGATTCACGTTATATAATTGGTGAGGTGATTCTGGGTGATTTAAGCAATATCATATCAATGACTTGCACGTGCAAAGCCGATTTAAGAGAACGTTGCAAACACATTATTGCAACTTTGTTGTACTGCAGCAGGTAGGTTCTTAGCCTCAAAATACTTATATCGTATCATTAGAACTGTGTTAAATCAATTACACAGGAATAAATAATTTCTCACTTTATAATTTTAGTATGATTCTAGTTTTAAATATTAAGGTTATGGCTGATGGTAAATACTTGCTGAAATATAATCATGTGCATTAAAATGACGTGAACAAATTTTTATTCCGGAATTCTCTTCTTTGATACCTACTGCTTTCATCCAAGCTTCTATTAGTTTACTTTTTTCTCTAATTTTCGAATATATTTTTTACATATATAAAACGGTTAGTTTTTATTGGAAAGTAGTTAATGTAGGTGAAGAGTGAAGATCTATGTCTGAAGTGCTATTGCAGCTTTTCACTGAACATATTAACTTTTTATTTGATTTAACTTTAGAAGAAAACTTCGTCGACTCCATCATCAAAAAAATGTTTACTTTTATAACGTGTTTTATTATTTTAATAAACAATTTTACAATTTGCGTGCACAGTTCCTATGTAAATTTTTCCCTCATTCGAGTTATAAATTTTGCCACCAGATGGTGTATGTCCGTTTGACGGATCCCAATATTGCTAGTCCCCGTAAATGGCGGCGTTGTCTAGCAAGAGAGACAGCAACTGCATACTTCTCACTCGTTTATACATTGATGCGTTATGCGCAAGCGTTGCGACTGTAGTGGAAGTCCTCATCTCTCAAAGCTTATAATGTGGTTAGAGTAGACAAGTTTGCGTTTGCGTTTGCTTCTCGGACATGCGCACAACATTCAAAGTCTAAATGAGGGAGACAGACATATATATGTCTGCACCGTTGGGTCGGCATCTTTTCCTAGACACCTAGTAGCAATATAGGAGTACTAAGTATATGATTGTAACACCATTATATGCCACAAAATTGTACAGACAAACTGCGTGTCCTTTACCGTGCTATATTTGGAAGATTTAAGTTCCAATGTTTAATTAGTTGGATATACGTGTACGGAGTCTGAAACGCTTTGTTACCTAGCTCACTTCCTCATTTTATACAAGCGTATTGTATGAATGATGAATGGCCGACAGTTGCGCGCACCTCGTGCCAAATATGATATTTTTTCGCCTATTTCAGGTGTGTGCCAAGGTCTTCGGGAATGCCTCAGCTTTAGCCAAACATAAGCTGACCCACAGCGACGAGAGAAAATATGTCTGCAACATGTGCGGCAAAGCATTTAAAAGACAGGATCATCTGTAAGTTTCCCAAAAACAATCCATCACTTTCTTACACGGATTACTCGTAACACTTCCAATCCTTCACCTGCCACAACACAACAGACTTAACTCTGTCAATTTAATCTCTAAAAGTGCAAAAAACGGCCTACATTTTAATCAACTTCCTCGCGGAATTATTCTTCTGTAAGCGCAATTAGGTCGACACCAAGGGGGAGGCACCCTTTCCAAAGGTTATCCTCGGGCCTTTCAAAACGACGTTATTACTACGAAAATGCCCGATATTTTAGGCTATTGAATGAAGACAAAACGAAAAGAGGGGTTTTGTGATTGAATATGGTGTTGGCCTCTAAAAGATGATAAAACCACGAAGTGCTCCTTTTTAAAGGGGTGCCTTTTTGAGTAATCTTAGGAAAGGCATTCCTTTCAGTTTTTTTCAGATAACTCAAGAACGAAAAATTGAATTTTTCATTGAAATACTTTAATTAATTTTCTTTGTACCACTTTTAGTGTCGAATGTAAGTAAAAAACGAAGTAGAAAATTTCAGAAAAATCGTTATTTAACATCTATAACTTTTTTCCTGGGCAATTTGGGTAAATATAAATGTCCAGAGAAAAGATAGACCTTGAAAAAACTCACATTTTTTTCTGTTATTCTTTTTTATACGATGAAAATTCACCGAGCTTTTTATGCTCACAGTTGCTTTCTTTTCATCACACTTTTTTTATAATTTTTGACGTATCTATTCATTTTATTGCTCATCATCGTCATCATCATAAGGTCGTGAACCGTAATCCTTACTAGATCTACATGTACTCGTCTTGACTCCTGTCTCTACCTAGCCCTTCATGTCTGAGAATGTGTCCTATCAACCTATCTCGCCTATTTCCATAGTTCTCCTACTCTTCCTAATACCTCCTTATTTCTAATCCTCTCTATCCATGGTATCCTTATCATTCGTCTGTAAACCCGCATTTCGAACACTTACTATCCTTTTCTTTTCCGCCGTGCTCAGCATTTGTGTTTCGCATCAGTACATGCCGTTCTCCAGACACAAGCAACAAGCTTTCTTGAAAATTGTTGTTTATAAAATTACGTTGAAAGTATTTCATAACAAAGAAATGAGTAGATACATTGAAAATTACAAAGTAAACACGTTTGTGATAAAACAGGGTAGAGTAAGACATAGTTTCCATCGTATGAAAAAGAATGCAGAAAAGGTGTGTTTTTTAAGAACTACCTTTTTCTGGCCATTTGTATATACCTAAGGAAAAAGGTTATAGATGATTTAATTAAGAAAAAACGGTGATTTTTTTGAAATATTTTAGTTATGTCAAACAAATGGCAAAAAGTATTTTGATGGGAAATCCTAAAAAAAGTGCGCTTGTAAAATCTTGAAAATTGCTTCGTTTTTAGGTTATCTGGAAAAAAACTTAAAAGAGCGCCATTTTTAAAATTATACTCAAAAAAGGTGCAGTTTGTGGTTTTACCATCCTAAAAGGTCAAACTACCATATTCAATTATAAAACCCCTTTAACGCAATTGTTCCATACTAAAATCTCTATTCAATAGCCTATTTGTCATCCTTCAGTACCACACATTTCTTTAAAACGTCACAATATAAGTACTATTTTAATTTTCTCATATATAGAATGAGTTTTGCTATCTTGGAAAGATGAGATCACTTAAAATATCTCATTGTCAGAAGTTGTATATTTGACCTTGACCTTCAAATTCGAGGTCATTTGAAGAAAGTTATTTTTTTTTAATGAGAATACAAACTTTTGACACCAGCAATGGAAAATGCGAAGAATTTTATAATTAGAATTGATCTTAAGGTCTAGGCTAAATGTTATTCTCAAGTTAAAACCCTGGAGCAAGATCGTGATTTTGAGTTAATGAAGTAACCTTAATTAATTTCTTTTAATTACTTTTAATATTTTTTTCTATATTAAGCTTATTTACTTGTTTTACTTATTTTTTACTACTACTTAAAACTCAATTTAGATACTCATTATTTTTTTTATTGATTTAACAATATGATCAAATTTTTTAAAAAGTAAATTATCTGTAGGTTCATCTATTTCCTTGAATTAGGAATCCTGACATTTTAAATATTGATTTCTCTTAATTTTTTAGCCACTATCAATGAGAAAACAGTACCTTTTCCTAAATGATGATATTCACTCAAGATAAATATTCATCCTATAGGTACTTCTATTATAAAGTATAAGGATTTTAAAATGGCAATAATATATCATCAATCTTGATGAATATACCCATAAAGACAAAATTAACTTCATTCATCTATTTACAAAGAAGAAAGTGAATAAATAATAATAAAACTGTAGACAGGTACCAAACGGCTCCTCACATCACCCCCAACTACAACTCCTAGTTATGGCTATACTTTTTTACTGTACTTGACGATCTTTATTCTTATTCCCTGTTGTACATCCCTTTCTCTAAAAGGATTGTTGTTATTTCTTTGCAGCAACGGTCATATGTTGACGCATAGAAACAAAAAACCATACGAGTGTAAGGCAGAAGGCTGTGGCAAATCGTATTGTGATGCGAGATCATTAAGACGTCACACGGAAAATCATCACAGTAGTTCTTCAACCGTCAATACCACGACCACAACGACACTGTCTCCAGCACAAGGAGCAGCATCCGGAGATGCGGCTTCTCCACATGGTTCCAGCTGTATACAGTACGCACCACCTCCCACATCAACCACATCATCTTCAGGAGGAAAAAGTCAGCTGCAGCAATTACTAGCCAGCGAACCAGCAACAAAGGTTATATTACAACATATGTTCTAATTTATGTACCTACGTTTAAGTTATTGTTTAATAAATAAGTCAGTACGGCATGGTTAACAACAAAAAAGAAATATTAATGCCATCAGCATACGTACATTTCCATTATGTTTCCAACATTCAATTTCCGTTGTTCCCTCTAACTAAAAGCAATTTAGGAAATTGTTTTGACTTTCCCTTTTACATATATAACAAAAAACAGAAAGGGTCATATTTACTGCGAAATATTTTGATTTGGAGCGAATGTTATCGACAAGGCCGAAGAGGAAAGACGGTATTGGCAAAAATATACGACCATGCTGACCTGGACATTATTACGGGGATTAGAATGCCACGTGGTATCACCACGCTGACATTATTTTGCTAAGCTTTACAAATGAATGCTTTAGGGAGAGATTTGGCAGCAGGTGTATTTTTCAACCCGCTACGGTAGAGAACGCACAAAAAGCGTTTTCTTCAAACAAAGACAAATGGCCGCCTTTACTCAAAAATCTCAAACTTATATCTTTTAAGTATCCAAATACGTTATAGCCTCAAAATATTACCTCAATTTATATTTTCAATGGCCACTTCTGATAAAATCGTATTTGAATTTTTTTATCATTCTATGCTATTTGATAATTCCACCTATAACATTGGGAATCATAAAAGTAATGACACAACATATAGAAAAATAAAGTACAGGCAATATATCGCCATCTGTTGCTGCTAATGATGTATTTCAAGAACGTTAATAATTGTTAAATGAAAATTATGTACTTAATCAAGGTTCATAAAAGTTCAAAATTAAAATTATCTACACATTAATAAAATTTATGCATTTTATTTTTTTTATGTAGTATATACACATAATCATAATTAACATTCATTATTCGACTTTCGTTACGATTGTGTTGAGGTAAAATTTCATTAGATTCTTTGAAGTGAAAACTTCTTTAGCACCGTTGTGATTTGAAGGTCGATGAAACGAAAAAGCGACAGTAAAAAGAGACAAACACATAAATTCATAAGATTTAACGTGGGAGAAAATGAGATAGGAAGCATTATACAATGTTTCTTATGTTCGTGGTTTTCCATGTGTTCTGCATCGTACCCCCTCCACTCGTGTTTACCAAGGCATAGTGCTTGGGCCTCAGCGTTGTACGTGTGTTAATACGTGTTTGTGCGCGCGTGCGTAGTCCAAAGCTTGAGGAAAGGCATCACAACAACCGTGGTATTTTGTATACGTGTACGTATTATATGTTTGTAGAGTTTTTTCATCATTTTTATAATAAACTTCTTCAAATATGCCGAAAACGAATGCAGAATGTTGTCGCGATCTTGAAACCATAATTTTTCACTTCTACCACGTGTTTTTAAATCTTAAGAGGTGAATTATTGTTATGTACTGACATAAATTTAATTGAATAAATTACTGTTATTATGTCACAACATTATATCTACACGAAAGAATAATTGAACATGACTCCTATTTATTCTCATGCATTTTAAATTAAATATATGTCATTACATACGTTTATTTAATTTTATTATGTTACAGCATAATAAAAACAAATTTTGATTCATTTAAAAGAAAAGAAAACCTTTTTAATTTTTCCTGATAATAATATTTCTATCAAGTAGCAAAACAGCGTGCCATACTGCCTGCCTTCATTGCGATAAAAAGAAACAGAATTCAGTAAAAATGAGTATTTGTTTACAGAATGGAAATGGTGGGAACAATGACGGTCTAACAAAGCAACAATTAGATCTTATTCATCAGATAATGGAACAAACTCAACGACAATCTCAGACAACTACCTCTAAGGCACTAACGAAACCTGTCAGCAAATCAGCCGTCAAAACTACCACTAAACTTCAAAAGTCATGGACAACAGTGAGTTTTAAATCTGTTACCGACAAACTAACATAATATAATATTTAGTTACCTTCATTTAGCTTATTTTGTTATTTATTGACAACAATTTAGTAGTTACAATTTCTCCAGTATGTATACTTCATTTACTTTCTCTAACGATGTGCTCCTTCAAATGTCTTGGATGAGCGTTGGCAAAATCGTAGGTAGGGAGAAAAAAGCTCATTATACTCTCTACTCTTGTTCATTAAACATCCTGAATTAGTGCGAGTCGAAAACAAGCGTTAAAGCCTTTAATGTCTTCAAATATAAATAAACATCTCGTTGATATTTTCAATAGTAAATGGTACCAACAACAGCACATTTGAGCAATGCAACTGTAGTGGATAAAATGATCAATTTTTCCGTGCAGTACTGTATGTATTATACGCTCTTCACCTGTTAAGAGTTTGGCCGAGAGTTGTTTCCTTCCTTTTCTGGCCTAGTTCTGTCCTTTTCTACATTGCACCGGTCAAACAAAGTCCAATCGCTACAGAAAGTAAACGAAGTTGATAATTACGTATTTATACATTTACTAGCTCCTCGCGGTTTTACTCACAGAAATTAATATTGTTTCTCCATAAAGTCTTTTAACTCCCAATTCACCCTTACAAACGTAGCAACAACATTTCATCCTTCAGGGTTGATTTTTAAAAATTGTCAAAACACGTATTTGCTTAATTTCAATAATGAGTATTAAGAGCAACCTTCGAGTAAATCCGACTACAAATAAAATATACCCCACGGAAAAGTTGCAACCTCTTTTCATTTGATTAATTATATCAAAGAGCATAACTACCAAGTTTCAAGTAAATTTTACCACAAATAAAATATGTCCCAAACATTGCAGCCGCTTTTTACCCCCCCCCCTTGGAGATTGAATTTTTTGAAATGCCTAGATTGGTGTTTCACAAATTAAATGAGAGAGCATTAAAATCAAGTTTCAAGTAAATCTGACCACAATTAATATATATCCCATTCAAACATTGCAACTCCTGTTTTAACCAAGTTTCAACAAAAATGTTCCATTCAATCTTTGCAAGCTCCTTTTAAATTCCTGCAAAGGTTGAATTTTCTAAAATGTTGAAATAGGTTTATCACTAATTTTATATGAAAAAAAATTAAAACCAACTTTCAAGTGAATCTGACTACAAATAAGATATCTAACATATAAACTTTACAGCCCACCCTCAACTAATTTAACGGTGTATTTTCCAAAAATTTTCTTTCACACAAACCTTATTCTGTCAATTACAAATACAACAAAAATAAATCAGGCAAATCGGTTGAGCAATTCCCTAGAATTGACATCTAGAAACAGTTTGAATTTGGTTTTTAAGTTTTTCTTCCTCAGACTTCAAGGAAAATTTAAAAAAAAAATATCGAAATTGGTCCAGCCATTATCGAGCTTTGCGCTTGCAATGCGTTCATGTACAATGTATTGATTGTCTTAAAATAAAAAGAAATTTAATATAAAAGACGTAAAGACTGACTGACGAGTGCTGTAAATGTTGGCTGTTACGCTACATAAAGTTGTTGAGATCAATACCTAGTCATTTAAGATTTAAGGTCATTTCTATAAAAATCATTTCCGACATCTTTTTTAATACCTCGGCTGTAATCTATAGGAATACCTTAAAAATGTGTTCTTTCAAATTACCTAATATATTTTCGATCTTTTTATAACAATATAGAGAATCAGTCCGTTTTAAAATTTTCACGGTAGAGCAAAATAGATTACCCTGTATACTCACCATAATTGGATACCTCTATTCTTCCAGTTTTATTAAGCGCTCTTCCTATACTTACTTAGACCCACTACCTACTTCAGAATTTGTCGTTTTGGTATGGTATTATTTGCAAATAAAATATATATTGTGCACTAATTTTTATGTTCAACTCAATCAAAAATTAATTTAATCTGAAAGCATCTACTATATGTATGTAAGTATGTATGTATGTATATATGTATGTATGTATGTATATATATATGTATGAATATATTTATGTATGTATGTATGTATGTACAGGTATTTATGTGTTTCGCGTTTCTATGAAAATACAAGTTTCCGTTTATATGAAACGTTTCTATTCATTTCTAGTCCCATACATCTTCTAACAACAAAGTAAGTACAAATATTTCGAGTCCACAAGCCAAAGTTTCAACCACTACTCCTTCGACCACTACAGTTAATTTAGTTTCAAAAAATCAAGGAGAAGCAAAACCAGTCGAATGTAACTTATGCCACAGAAAATTCAAGAACATTCCGGCGTTGAATGGGCACATGAGGCTGCACGGAGGTTATTTCAAAAAGGTATGAGCAATTTCAATACAAGAAATAACTATATTTTAATGATTGAAATATTATTTCGAAAACTCATGCGTATTATTTATATTAATTGTATCGCATCTGATCGATGTTCGACCAACCAATTTTACCTAACTAAGCAAAAAATGTGTTACATCGATCGGGATTTGAACCCGCACCTTCCGCGTGTAGGTGATATTTATAAATTTATACAAATTAAATTTTACTTGTCTTAACGTCCACGATTTTTGTTTCGTGTACGTATATGGTCTGTACCTTTCAAATGATGTTTCATTTCTTTGACACTCATAAGGCAAAAAACCGAAAAATTGTTCCTTCAATATTATATTACTATTCTGAAGTCACAAAGATTCATGAATTTTTTTACTATACTCGTTTAGTGTTAGATATCATAAATTTACTTTAACTGTCCACATACTGTTATTTTCATAAATACCATTATTACCTACCCAGGATTCAGACAACAAGAAATGTGAAAAGAAGGAAAACAACGGTCCTCCTCTTCAGACAGCCAGCGTGAGTGTTAGAGCACTTATAGAAGAAAAAATAATAAACAAAAGGATCACGACGAATCCGACCTCGACAACCATGTCCTCTTCAACGTCTAACGATGAATCGTCACGTTCAGTGGCGCCTCCGCTCTTTCCCTTAACTGTGCATTCCCCGTCGAGTTCAACCGATTTGGACTCGACGAAAATTACCTCATTCGTGGTGCCTGCACCACCCCAACTTGCCATTGAAAAGGGCCGAAGACATTCCGACGCTGAAACGTTCACGAGTACTCGATGTTCCACACCTCAAAAAGAAGCTGAGACGCTGGCCGAACTGATCCTTAAAAAGGGAAAGGTTTCCGTCAAAAGGACCGCGTCAGATCCGGGTCAGTCGGCACAACAAGTGATCCAATTGCAAAACGGAGAATCGCTCACGTTGAGAGGAGTATCGTATCAGCCTGACGATGCATCCGAATACTTTTCCTCGAGCTTACAAGATGAAGTATTTACACAGGTTCAAGACAGTATGATCCTTCAAAGTGTTGACGCTCAACAATTGGCATCGATTTCTTTTTCTTCTGCCGATTCTCTTTTACAAGAACAAAGCCAAAGCTTAACGGCATTGGACGATTACACTAGCAACAGCAATGGAAACATGCAAAGTTGCGTGGCACAATCGCCTGCATCCTATCAGTCTAGTCACACGGTCAATCAAGAACTGCAGGCGGTTCTTGATTCACCTCTTCCAGAAAGTTTAGCTGAATTCGGAGCTTTTCATTCCTCGAGCAATATCGATCTGCCGTCACCAGGGTACCAAACACAATCACCAGCACAATATTCGGAATCTCCACGAACATCCCTCGCTGCTCAATCACCTTTACAATCACCCCTTATACGACATGACTCCCCAGGTTTCGCTTATCCGACACCTCCGGCTAGTCACGAAGGTCAAAGCCCCTGTTTTACACAAACGTCGGTCTATCCAACTATATCGCCCAAACAGAATGACTTTCAAATTAACAGCAGAGATTTGGATGAACCTCCACAGGCATCATCTCCACTTTCGGCAGCGTTTTTCACATCAACAATGTCGAGCTCTGCAGCTGTTGAAGAAGCATTGGAAGAAGTTCTACCTGGAGAAACAATATCATCAGACGATATCTATCCTCTGACTAACTCCCCAAATCCTCAATCGCCCTTGTCAGTCGGTCTAACGCCGGTAGCGTCTCCTTTACCTATCGTTTCCAATCAACCTGTTTCTTCTCCCCATCCTGTTCCAACCTATACCATTTCGCCCAGTAATGTTGTCAAGTATCGGATATCGCCTCATCATACGTTACAATCACAAATGATGCCTAATTCTGATGACCCCCTACTGTCGAGCAGTCCCAAAGATACAAAAAAGAAATTCGAATTCAACGGAATCCCGTTGAAAGTTATAAGCACCAACGGCCTAATAGAACTTAACAATTCCAACTTTACCGGCCTTCTGTTAGATTCTAATGGAGAACTGAGACTTATTCAGACCAACGGAAATACATTACAAACAAAGAACGTTGTAATCGGAACTTCTGCGTTTGTTCAACAGTCTGCGGACAAAAATTCTGTAGAACATAAAGTTCAAGAGATGAACAAAAACTCAAAAAGTATGCAATTTCCTACGGTACAAAAACAAACCGTTTCCATTTCAAATAATTCTGGACTTAGGAAGGAAGACGACGGAAACATTTTTGTTAGCCCAGCAATGTAAGTAATACTACTCAAGAGAGTTAAGAGTTTGCAGTTGCTTCTTTATGCGGCATTTGAATTCCTTCAGGTTACCTTGCAGTCCTGCCAGACTATCAAGGAAAAGACCTAGAATAGAACCCTTACAACTACCTATACTTTACCAGTCAAAGTTAAGAGCAACAAGGAGTAGGCCTCAAGGATGTGCACCCTATACACCTCCTCCCATGCTGAACCCATCAAGAACTGGTTCAGGACTTTACCATTCTTTAAAAATTAAAAAAGGTATAAAAAAATACGAAAACATTAAAAAGTATGTAGCCCGTCTATTTTTTTAACTATTCCAGAAATTAGTGATGACTACCCAAATTGTTGGAATACAGAATCTATACCAGAATCAGATTCAACTCCTCACATTAATATGGGTTCTAAATTTCAAAGCAGTATACCTAGCCTTCAGCACCGATATTTTGTTGAAAGAGAACAGTGCAAGGAAAATCTGGTCTGGGCCCCGAAAAACGATAACCTTACTGAAAATGAAAGTAAGAACCCCCTAAATTAAAATAAATGCATATGTCATATTCAATTACAAGTTTAATATCGTCCTTTCTTTTAGTCGACATGTATTTGGACTTTGCGTGCTGTGCTGCCGTACCAGGTGGTGGGCAAAATAAGGAATATGCACTACATCTTCTAAACCTATGTGGGGGCAATATTCACGTAAGTTGATTATAAAAATTGTATTTCAACTATTAATGCTCCATGTCTTCATTCCGTTTTTATAGGAAGCTATGTTACGGCTCATGCAGTCGTCACCAACGCTCCCTTCGGACCATCCCCTTTTACATTATCAATACAATGACAGCGATAAGTGGTCACCAGAAGAAGTAGAAGCTTTCCACCAAGGCCTAATCAAATACGACAAGGATTTCTTTTTAATATCCAAACACGTAAGTCGCAATCCTTTTATCGTTTATACTTTTTTGTGTAGTGTGTGTTTGAAGACGATAAACTCGTTTTCGTTTTCCATGTGTATATTTGTATAGTGAGGACTCTATTTCCGCAATTCCATTTTATCGCATCGCAAAATGAAATTTTTATGTAACTTCAAATTTCTCTTATTTCCCTCCGATCTTAATCTCCACATGTTATCCTCTTTGAAAGACTTTTCAACTAAAATTACTCTTAGTAAGCAACACCACGTGTATGACTCTGCGACCGATGTTCCAATTACCTTAACTTTGCCGCAAGCGTTTATACCACCAGGAGTCTGATCAGCTTAACTCCACCGATGTCGTTGATGCTGTTACTGCTTGCTTTTACTCTCCTGTCCTATACAGGGTGTAACAGAAATAAGTGCCAGGCTTGCAAAAGATGACAGAGCACTATTGAATATGAAAATTTTGTACATGTTTGTATGTCCGAATGTTTACCGTTTTGAAGAAAAATGCAGTTGAAAGTACAGATAAAGTTAATTCCAGCCCTGTTTTATAAATACGGGCCGCAACGCTACACTCAATCAGCTGGTGATTACTAGCATCAGCGTAGTATTTGTTTTTTTTTTTTTTTGTCATGTATTATTTATTTGTTAGATTAGATTAAGTGTGATTCAGCGTGCTTATGTTAACTGCCAACCTCTTTTAACGGTTTAACTTAACTAATTCAGTAATACAACATCAATTATTATTAGTGTAGGTCAGTCACTCTAAAACAGTTTATGTTACAATGTGACATATACGTATTTACGGGTTCGAACACAGTTCCCCACAATAGTGCACGCGAAATAGCAGATAACGTTGGCTTCTCTCAGTGTAGCAAATTTTAAAGAAACAGTTGCTGTATCCTTAACATTTGCAGCGAGTATAAGCCTTACTTGAAAATGATCTCCAGCCACGAATGGATTTGTATCAGTAGTTTCGATAGAATAATACTGTTCATGTCTATTTTTTTTGATAGATATCACACTATTCGGTTATTCGACAGACACCTATGTTGTCAATCCATGCACAGAACCGGCTTAGGATTGTAAATTATTGTGATTTTCTTAGAAAATTTTTTCGTCCTTAACCACGCTGCTGATCCTACGGTACGATTATTAATATCATCTATCTTACAACCTCCACAGCACGGCACTTATTTCTGTTACACCCTGTATAATAACATCCATTACACTTTTAAAACACATCTTTCGGTTTTTAACATACAAAAACAGTTAAATTATAAATAATGTTATTAGTTTTACCAAAACAAATAAATAATAATTCCTTATATTTCTATTGTCGACAGATCGGTTCGAAATCGACAAAGCAGTGCGTCCAGTTTTATTATGTTTGGAAGAAAGTTTGTCTGGATGAATACAAAAAAATTAAACAAACAAGAGAGAAGCGAAATTTCAATCACACCAACCACGAGTCGGACTTTGAAGAGAAGCCATACCCGGACGTTAAACTGCTAGGGGTAAGTATTTATTTACGACTTGAAAAGGTTTATGACAGGACGTATCCTTTATGGTCACCCTCTCTCTAACTTTATTCTCTTTCAGATTGCCGATACCGAGTCGCCGATAGCTTTCCCTGACCACAAGAACTTTATCTGCGAATATTCGGACTGTTCAGCTGTAAGTCAACTCTTATTTCTCCTTTATAATAAAAAAACCTTATGGCCTCAATATACGAGGGTATATGTATACAGTGGATTTCAATTGTAACGGCAACGCAAAAACTACTATTATTAAGTTGTTGTAACCGATTTATTACAAGCGAATTCAGAATTTCAATTCTTGTAAAACAGCTTAAATATTGAACCTAATATAATAGATATGTTACCGGAAATATATGAAATCTAGGAATTGCATACAATTCCTAGGAAATCTATACAATTCGGAGGCTATTAAGGAAATCTATAAAGTATTGTTTCAAAGATTTTTTAACACACACATATCCCGGAAAATGTATACATTTCCTAGGAATTGTATGAAATTCCGATATTCTACTACATCGCCTGATGTATACGCATTGGTGACATTATTGTTTAGTTAGGTTAGGTTTGGAGATGTATATGCATTAGTGACGTTATTGTATGGTTATTAGGTAGATTTATGACAGACTAGAGTTTCTTTATCACCTCTACAACATACTAAAAATTCAAAGTCACCGTGTCTGCTAAAACAAAGATAACTTCGTCACATTATTCTAGCATCTAACATATCAGCCCGCCTCCGTCTGTCATAAATCTCCCTAACCAAACAATGACGTCACCAATGGATATAGGTACATTTCCATACAGCCTGTTGTATTATTGCCTATTTAGTATTACCTGTAATACATTTCCGATTGCTATTTAGAACATGTGCCTAATATAATTTATTTCACATATTTCCAGGTGATTTTATTATTATTGTTATTATTATTTATATACATTTCGTAGGAATTTCATACATTTTCGGTAACAGATATATTAGGTACTAGTTTTTACCCTCCGGCTTCGCTCGCGTTGATATCCTGAATACGTGTCAAAGATAAAAAAAATGTACAATAATCTGATAAATATGTTCTTAAGTCACCAAGATCATCAAGATAAAACTAAAGTTTCTAATTTTGTAGGTTAAACATACACATTGCGTAGAATGACAGTAAATACTGCCTTTCTTTATCGAGATGAAAATAAATTTTTCTGTTCCTCGGAACAGTATTTTTTTTAGGATAAACGGTACCCTATATCCTTTTCTGCACCCCTGCCATATGCGTACAAAATGATCGAATGAAAAGTTAAAGGCTTGAAAGCGTCTCACTCACTCAGGCATTTATAATATTTGTTAGCATTGCACAGACTATTAATTTGGCTTTGGGTTTTGCAGTTCCATGTTTAAGGATAATATATTACATTATGCACAACCTAGTATTTTCACAACTATAATTAATTGAGAAAAAGTTTCTTATTTTCATTACTATTTTCTGTTACATGTTAAATGATAAGAATACCAAAGTTTGACTACAAATAATTTCTTATAAATATTAAGAAACGAAAATTTTCATCGAATATAACACTCAACTCATTTTTTCAAACCGCAAAAATTAAATGTCGCATAAATCCTCTTCTATTATTATAACGATAAAAAATATGAAAATATATTTCCAAAAATTTTCTTTCACACAAACCTTATTCTGTCAATTACAAATACAACAAAAATAAATCAGGCAAATCGGTTGAGCAATTCCCTAGAATTGACATCTAGAAACAGTTTGAATTTGGTTTTTAAGTTTTTCTTCCTCAGACTTCAAGGAAAATTTAAAAAAAAAATATCGAAATTGGTCCAGCCATTATCGAGCTTTGCGCTTGCAATGCGTTCATGTACAATGTATTGATTGTCTTAAAATAAAAAGAAATTTAATATAAAAGACGTAAAGACTGACTGACGAGTGCTGTAAATGTTGGCTGTTACGCTACATAAAGTTGTTGAGATCAATACCTAGTCATTTAAGATTTAAGGTCATTTCTATAAAAATCATTTCCGACATCTTTTTTAATACCTCGGCTGTAATCTATAGGAATACCTTAAAAATGTGTTCTTTCAAATTACCTAATATATTTTCGATCTTTTTATAACAATATAGAGAATCAGTCCGTTTTAAAATTTTCACGGTAGAGCAAAATAGATTACCCTGTATACTCACCATAATTGGATACCTCTATTCTTCCAGTTTTATTAAGCGCTCTTCCTATACTTACTTAGACCCACTACCTACTTCAGAATTTGTCGTTTTGGTATGGTATTATTTGCAAATAAAATATATATTGTGCACTAATTTTTATGTTCAACTCAATCAAAAATTAATTTAATCTGAAAGCATCTACTATATGTATGTAAGTATGTATGTATGTATATATGTATGTATGTATGTATATATATATGTATGTATGTATGTATGTATGTATGTATGTATGTATGTATGTATGTAT